ATATAGCTGTTTCAAAAAAGGTTGTCGGATAAAATGGCGAATGTCAATGGTCGAACGGCGATTGCACGACCGAAAGTAGCCATGGGTTTTGCTAGTTGAAAGGCAATAACAACTGATTTGTACTGTAAGATGGTCTGTGGTAAACATTGGCTCCATTTAGTCTCCATTTCTATGTAAGGCTAATCCAATAAGTGAACTTTTGTTTATCAAAACAGTGTAACCATAGTCCCTTTCGGTCGTGCAATCTCCCTTCGACAATCGCCGTTCACCGTTCTCCCCGACAACGTTTTTTGAAATAGCTGTATTTGATTTCAAAGAAGATGTTCTTTCAATTTTCTTTCAAAGGAAAATGATTAGAGATGAATTTTTCAGATGAAGCCAGACAGAGATGGCCAAAGATCAACAGCAGCAAATGACGTAGTTTTCTTGACAAAATTTGAAATTTTTGCAATGCTTTTTTAGATTGAGATTGAACGTTTGCCGTATTTCCTTTTGGTAGTCTCTAGTGAAGTCTTAAGTCTTTATAATAAACGTTTTGAAAAAGCTCTATTTGGCGAGGAAATAGCAGGTCTTGTCTTTGTTGTATGCTTCTCACTGTCTAATCGACTTTGACCTTATTTCAGAGTATTTTGTAAAGACGAACCCTAAGTTCCTAAGTRATATGTCAATGTTGGCGACACTGCTAATCGCTACCGCACACTTGTTCGGAATCGCATCAGGAAAGTTGCAGTGCATAGGGACTTGTTATTCAGGAGGCAGCCACCCGAGGGATGAAGATACCTTCCAAGAAAAGTACATTAAGGGATATTCTTATAAAAATATAACCACGACCGACCATATCACGTGTTATCGCTCGTGCATTCAAGATTGTCGATGCAAAGCTTGTCAGATCAAAGGCGATCGATGTGAGCTTCTTGATGCTGACAATAAATTCAATGGAATAAACTTCAAYRAAGAGAAGRGATATGTGTATTATGACCTTGCACAGACACAGTACAAGGGGGTAAGTTAACCGTTGTTATACACAGACCTTAAGTTCATTAAACAATGCAGTAATCTTAGCTATTTATGAAGTTATATAGAAATTGACTTTACAAGAGAATAGTTAATGGCATAGTTAATAGAGRGMAATGGTTTGGAAACCTTTTGTTGTACTTCTTTTGTACATCTTTTGTATGTATTTTRAAGTTGAATCAGTCAAGACCGTTCACAACTTTTTTATTATGAACGAAGGAAATTGCAAAATGAGTGAATATAAACACTCTATATTATGAGATTATGAAATGAAATATTTCAATATCAATTGAAAATTTTTGTGCATTTTGAAGAAATAGACAAAACAATAATTTTCGGTCTGTTCATTCTGAAGTGACCAGTATGGCTAAAATCATCACGCTTGGAAAAAAGGGGGAAAAAAGCTACAAAAAAGACTTCCTAACCATTTCCCTCTACAAACTATGGTTCCATACATGATATCTATTTTTACATTGTGGGAATATTACTCAGGAAACAGCGCGGTGGATGAGAATATTTTGAGCTCATTGAGATATCATGGTAATGTCTGTTCTTTATAAAATAAAAATATGGAAATTATTAATGTGTTACATTGCGTAATGAATGGATTCAATTTGTTGCGCAATTGTGTTCGTGCACTGTGTAAAGATGATGTATTTGAGATCCTGCACCTATATGGCTATAACACTGATTAAGGTCTAGAAGACAGCTGGTTTTCGAACATGATTTCTTTTAAAGATACGATGGTCATGCTGGTCGCATGAATAGTACATTCTCATGAGAAATCTTTTGTTGAGGGACCGCCAACATGGCTGCCGCAGTGTCGACTTTCGCAAGCGATAAATAAGTTTAAAGATTGGCTCTCGGAATTCAGGAAAAATATAACATCACGCAAGAATCAATTAAACACATTCCCAATCAATTAGAAGTCATTATGCCTGACGTTTATAATTATATCATATCATTTCTTTTATCAGAAATCTCACATGAACCCTCCCGATGGGTGTTATAACGGCTGTTGCAAAATGAAGCCCTGCCTGAATGGAGG